TCCGAATAATCTGACAGATATTCGGATAATTATCCGGATATCAATAGTAAATGGATATCCGAATAAATTCAGATCCGAATATCCCATAATTATTCAGATAAATGCCAACCGGATTGGAACTCTAGAATTTTGCGATATTAAACCCAGATAGTACAAGGTAAATTAGCATCACTTTGAGCTAAAAATGCCAAAATTTTTCTTAATATTTTAGTTTTCCCAGTACCTACAGTAGAACAAATAAGAGTAGTACTAGGCTCTTCATTTAAAAAGTTTAGAAAAGCATCTAAGGTATCCTCTATTTCTTTTACATTAATACTTTCCCTAGATAATTTGAGAAATTGATGTGGAGTTGATAGAGCCTTGAGTAATCTTTCACATAATCTTCACTTCTTGAACTTTTCTTTTGATTCTACTTTATCTGATACCTTATCAAAGCTAAAACCCTTGTAATCTGGCTTGTATTATTTTTAGCGATAACACTTAAGTATAAAATACCTATTTTTTCGAATAAATCTGTAGAGTTGATCTTTTTCATATTTAATGTCATATATAGGGTATTCTTTTATTGATTGTGAATGAAAGTTAACAAACTCTTTCTCGATTCTTCTAATCTGAAGCTATCCATATTTTTCAATAACTAAATTAGTACCTTTAACTATAGCATCTTCATTATCAATAGGTTTGAATTCCTTTTCTATTAGTTTTTCTTCTAAAAAAGTCTGTAGCCAGATTACAGAATAATTGAATTTTAGTTGAACCAAATAATCTTCTAATTTTTGAAATCCATTTTTAACAGAGGCAATAGCTAGTCTTTTGATATATCCTTCTTTTGCTGATTCAAGAAGCTGAAGATTAAAATACGTTTTAGGAAGGCCATTATCAATAAATTTGGAATAAGGTTCCCTAACTAATTCTATAACCTTTTCTGTGAATCCTTTAAGTTCTCTATAATCTATGAATCAGGTATGAGAATAAATAATATACTAACTACATTTCTCAGTATTTGATGAACTTGCCAAAACAAAGTTATTTAATAATACTATGCAATCTAATACAGAATATAATGTGTCTGTACAAGCAACTAAAATTTGAGATATCAAATCTTCTCAGTTAATTTTTTCACTATTTAAAGAACATGTTTAGGATTATTTGGATCAGGTTTTTGTCTTGTATCAATATTAATAATTAGGCGTAAGAGCTAGTTTCTATTAATACATTTATGAGTATTAGATATTCTATAAACTTCACTAAGATAATTGATCATTATATAATCTTTTCTTGCTATTCGAATTACATATTGAGAATGAATCTCCTCAGGTTGATATGCATCTAAAAGTGTAGTATTATTTTTATCAGTATGGCCATTGGATGCAAGCTAGTATTTATAAAATGTATATTCTGTATGAGCAGGTTTATAGTCAAGATCTGTTAAACCTATAAAAAGCCTTTTTGCTTCATTATATTCAGCTGACTTTTGATTTAAGCACTGTTGCTGTAACAATTCATAAAAATATTTTTTTGCTTCACTAGACAAACTTATTTTATTGATTTGTATATATGTTGTTTGTATATGTGCGTTGTTTGATCTGACAAAAAGTATATATTATTAAAACTATATTAATTAGTAGATAAATCTTTAAAATAAAATTAATTATTCCAGAAATTTTAGCTAGATACCAAAAAAAATTATATATTTGATTGAAGTAATTATTATATATAATTACGAAGATATTATATCATTGCTCATATATTCATAGAACTGGAGAAATCTGTGGTCAACGTAATAAATCAGAAAGATGTTATATTCATTGTAATTCTCTAATACCTACTCCTTGTAGAGATTGTGATGAGTCAAATAGGTCTAAATATAATATATGCAATAAACATATGGGAAAATATAAAAGTAAAGAGAATTATGACAGAAAAAAGCAGAATGAGTTATGTGCACAAATTACCAGGTTTAAGAATTATATATCTAATTTCCCTGATTCTATGCACGAAGTTTAATCATATACCTGGCATATGTATATATTGATTATTTTTTCTAGGACCTCTTATTTTAGAAAAATAGTACTTATGTACCTAAGTAATACTATATTCTCTTTGATCTTATTGATATTTTTAGTAATTTTATTACGTAGAGCTATAGATTCCAAGACTTTATTTCGAGGGAATAGTACTTTATGCCTAATTGAACTCGTGTCTATTTTCTGATAGAATTACAATAACCATGATCTATTAAATTTTTGGTATAGCAATATTAATTCACAGGTAATTAATTTCGATTTGAAAAAATATATGCCATAGTTATAGTCTGCGCAAATATCCTAATCGACAATGTCAAAAGTTGCAACAAATTTTGTAAATTAGTATAACTTAACCCCTCAAATGAGCATAGCTGAACTTAGCAATTATGCTGAAGAATTGGTTAAATATTTGAAAGATGCGAAGGCTTGTGACTATATACAAAATCAGATCCAGAAATTAGAATTTAGTAAAGATCAAACATATACTTTAATTCCTATACAAACTTCTAGAAGATGCATTACAGGTCAAGATCTGGTTAAAAAACTTGCTTTGTATATTAAGGAGAATGAAACCAATCTTGAACTCGAACGGATAAGCAAATTGGCCTATAATTTGACAAAAACGAGACCCACTATTATAGCTTAATCTTCTTTTCTTAAATTGTTCTAGAAAAATTATGCTAACTCAATGCCAATTAAATTACATTAGAAGCTATATATGATCCAGACATTACTCAAAGATCAAATAAAGAACAAGCAATAAATCAGTAGCTCCATGAAGACAAGGAATATGATTGTCCCAAATTCTTTTACTTGGAAAATGTCTAGAAAAGACTTAAGGATTGTAACATTACCAATTCCCCTACAATGCAAAATTTAATAAATATAATAATAATGTTATCTATGAGGTCAGCAGATATTGCAAATCTTCGTATTAATTACTATAAACTATCTAACACTAATTGATACGATCCTAAATATTCTTGGTACTGCACTAGATATGCAAAAAATAAAAAAGACAAACCTAGACCATTAGTATCTATGGAGAAAGATCCACTACTAGCTAGAGAATTACTTATTTAGATCCAGAAAGCAATTCCTAATGAATTTCTATTTTTAATAAGAGATAAAGATATTGATGTAAATGTTTACCTAATTAATAATTTTCTAGCAATTTATAGAATAAGCTTATCGTATTTGAGAAAAATAGGATTTAACTATACTATTATAATTCATGAAGGTAAGACTCACTCTAAATGTAACTATCTTTATAAGTTAGCATTAAGATACAAAATAAATCGAGAAGCATCAGATCATTACAGTGTGATGAATAACAGACTGAATACTCTAGCACCTAAATAAGAAAATAATAAAATCGAGAATATTATTGATTTATACAGAGAAATTTCTGATGATAATAACTAATTATGCTTCTTTACTTTTACCACATCTATAGAAAATCTTCTTTATTATTAGACGATTCAGAGCTTGACCCAAACTCAGATGAAAGCTAAATTTTTTATATGTCTTTAGATACTAGCTTCACTATTCATGATTGCTAGTGAAGATTGGATCGCCAAATTTAAAATGAGATTTTATAAAATCTGCCAATTGGTTTGTTAATATAGAAATATATTATAAAACAGAATAAATAAATAATAAATTTAAAAGACTTATCTGGTTAAA